CCTGGGGAATCAAGAAAAGTTCAGAGAGGAAGGGCTGCTTGAGCTGAATCTTGGAGGACAGGCATGAGTTGCATTAGTAGAGAGACAGGATAGGGGATTCCAGGCAGAAGCTTGACAAAGACCTGAGAGAATATGGAGTGACGGGGGACTGCAAAGGGTTCAGCGTCGATGGCTGGCGGGGAAAGTGGCCGGAGCAGAGGCTGCCCAGGTTGGTTGGGATCAGACTGAAAAGTCCTGGGTGCCTTTTGGACTCCTCACTCATGGCAAAGGGAAGTCAGTATCATTGTTATCTGCAAAGTCATAGTTTTCGCCTGGCCACATAACTGGCATTTTCAAAAGTGATCAGAGATAAAGAGAAATCAGGCTTTTTACAGAGCAGTGTGAGAATCTTAATAGGAAAGGAAAACCATATCATGATTAAGATCTAACTATGCTTATGCCAAAAGAAAAATACCTAAATCGTAAACTGGCCTTTAATACAGTGGCAGATTTTATAGACTAGCTCACTCAATGCCAATTCCAATTCCCTTCTGGCTTGCCTTTTTGTACTGCCCTGACCTGGAAAGATGGAATCTCCACTCCCAGACTCCCTGAGAAACCGGGCTGCCATGTGCTCTGACTTCAGCAAAGCAACACACCTTTGGGAGACCCTGGCCAGGGGCACAGACGGTGATTCTGGGGTAGAAAGGCAGTGGCTGCTGACGGAATAGTCCTGTGTGGGGTGTGCACTCTGTGGACCGCAGGGTCCCAAGCCTAGCTCTCTGGCTCTCTAACATTCTCTCAGCTTCCAGATACCGTTTTACAAATCCCTTCCCGCTATGGGTTTCTGCTATCAGCGAAAGAACCCTGACCAAAGCAACACCACAGAAAAGCATATCTTGGATTTAGCCCTGGATCTGACAAACTAAAACCAAAATTAAAATCATTTGTGAAAAAAAAAAGTTTAAAATAAACACAGTCCCTATTATATGGGCAGAACCATAAGGACGACCGTTCCTGAGACACTGTGCCTGGTGCTGCACCTACAGAAGCCTCACCAGCGCCTCAGCCCCCACCCCTTGTTCCAGAACATCAACAGTCCTTGCCTCTCAGCTTTCAGACCAGTGGTCCTCAACCAAGGGTGATGCAGCCCCTGAAGGGACATCTGGCAGGTCGAGGACTTCTGAGTGCCATGACTTGGGGTCGGGGGTCAGGGCAGGAGAGGGAGCACTGGTATCTAATAATGGGTAGAGGCCAAGAACGCTGCTCAACACCCACAGGGCACAGCACAGGGTCCCATGACAAAGAAAGAGCCAGCCCCAAACGTCAACAGTGCTAAGGATAAGAATCCCTGCTCCAGAAAGCAGCGTGCCCACTATGATTCCTTCTCCACGCTTTCTAATGTGGCGTGGAACTCAAAAACATACACGGGCTTGTGACCCTTCCCAGTTTACGATGCTTCAGGGGCACCCTACTACCCGTAGAATACAGCCTAAATAAAATCTGAAGCTGCCTCACTTTCCACTCTGGGGGGGCACCCCTCTGCTCACACTCTACACCTCACCCACACTGAACCTCTTGCAGGTCCTCAGAAGTGCCACCTCCCAGCCCCAGCAAGCCGCCTCCCTGGCCAGCTCTCACTCATCTTTCAGGTCCTTCCTTCCAGGAAGATTCACTCCACCTGGAGGTCTTGGTTAGGCACCCCTGCCACATGCTTCCACCCCACCCTCCACTTTCTTAAGATGGTGCTTCCCCTGCATGGTCGTTGTCAGTTTACTTAATGTGCGTCCTACCAGACATGTACATACGTCATGGTATTCACTGTTGTAGCGCCACAAGCATTTTGCTCACTCAGTAGATCTGTTAAACATGTTAGTACATGGCACTAACGGCAATACGGTATATAAGAAATACAAGCATGACTTAGCACGGGCCAGATCTAGGGTAGAATAGTTACTTCCAGGAACCACAACTAGGTTGCTTGTGTCTGTCACAAAAAAACCGACAAAAGGGTCACCAAAAGGTGAGAAAAGAAGGCACATGATGACTGAAGAGTAAGAGATCTAAGGTTATTCAACACAGAGAAAGAGAGTCTGGGGTAATTTAGCAACAGCCTTAAATAATTAAACAGAAACATCACAATTTACAGGAAGGTGTATTTAGAGAGTCTGATAGCCTGGTATCCATCTGAGAATTGAATAAGGAGAAAGAGGTTTCAATTAAAGCATAAAGGACTGAACCCAATGAAGACAGTATTTTAATACTGGTAAACACCCGTGTGTTTTGCTGATGAATGCAGCAGCTGGTCACTCACTCAGTCATTGAATGAGGGCCTTCTCCGCTCAGGAACATCTATTACATACAGTGTGGTAAAAGGGAGAGAGGCTGCACGGGTGTTAGAGAAGACCGAAGAAGAGGATTTATAAATAAGGTGAAGGAAGAATAGTGGTCCGAAATCCCTGCAAGCACCACACGTGAACTGAGTGAAGGAGGAGCGTGAGGGTACACATAGAGGCACGAATTGGCTTTCTGGTGGCACCAGGAAGGTCTGAAGCAAAAGAAAGTCAGAATGAGATATGTATGCCATAAAAGTCCCTCCAGCTCAGGACCAGATGGTTTGGAGAAAGGCAGCACTGGAGAGGGACAATGGTTAAGAGACCATGTTAGTCATCCAGGTGAGAGGTGGATGGCTTGACCAAGAAGAGTGACAAGAGGATAGAAAGAAGGAAGTAGGTGGGAAAGATATTTACAATTACCCCAAAGGATTCAGATTGGAGAAGGTAAAAGAGAGAGATTTTTTTAAACAGTGAAACTTTCTTATTTGGGTAGTTGGGTGAATGATGACTGCTGGGTGAGACACAGAATGCCAGAAAAAAATAGGTTTTATGAAAAAAATAATGAATTATTTTGGACATGATGAGTTTTATGTACCTATTTAAACAGGCAGGCAATTGAAGGCTTAGATCTGGAGTGTTGGAGGGACTGGAGAAATAGACCTGAGAGACTAGCACTTCACATGGAATGACATGGTTAAGGAAAAAATCTAGGGCATGAGAGGAAAAGAGGGGTGAAGATAAAACAAAGAAGGAGAAACAGTACTGCTTAAGGGTCGTGTGGAGGAGCGGGGACTCCTCAGAAGGAGGTGTCCAGAGAGCCATCAAGAAAAATAACAAAAGGATAGTATCATTGAAACCAAAGGAGAAGAGAGTTTTATACAAACAAAAGCAGCAAACAGTGTCAAATTCAAAAGCGGACAGGACAGTTTCTACTGCATCTGGTATTAGGAGACCACCAGTGACTCCCGTGGGAGACAGGGAAGGGGAAATGGGGCCCAAGTTAGGGATTGAAGACCACCCTGGGCCATGGAGAGACTGAGGCAAGGATGGAGAGTGAGTGAGTGGAGTGAGTACTTGTTTAGGAAGATGGCTATGATGAGAGGAAGTCAAGATGAGTAATACTGAGTGCTATACTTGGGTGTGTATTGGAGTTTATTTGTTTTCTTGAGGGACCTGGGTATGAATCCTAGCTACATCACCAGCTCTGTGACCTTGAATAAGTCGCAATGTGCCAGACATTTGGTTTTCTTAGATGCAGAATGGGACTAATAATCTACTGCAAAGCATTGCTCAAGGATTAAAGAAGATAATAACATGTAAATCTTTTAGGACCTTTTTGATACATGGTAAGCACTCAAAAAAAGAGTAATGTACAGTTATCGTTACACACAAATGCAGAGGGGGAATGAACCACCAGACAGAAAGAAACTGGAGAAAGAGGGGTTAAATGGTTCCTACAGGATCCGGAACTATAAATGTTATGGGGATGACTGGTCCTGAACAAGAGGAGGATGCCGCAGCATCTGGAGGTCTTTGAAAATTATGGGCAGACTAAGTCATAAGCGTGGCATCCCACAGGAAATTTACAATCTTAGAGCATCTTCTGCAGCAAACTGTGTGGCTGCTACCACCAAGCCTCCCTAGAGGGCCTTCCTAACCCCTCGCTGACCCTGCACTCCAAACATGCTGCCCAGTGCAGCCTGGATGCCACATATCTGAGCCAGTCCTGGGGAACCCCAAGAGGCACTCACTGATTTATATATAGCCCATTTCCACTGAGGATTTGAGTTGGATTCCAGAAGTTCCAAGAACTGTCTTACACAAACATTTTTAGGGAATTTGGGATCATCAGTACTGAAACAAGCTATGACTAGCCTCACCTCTGACCCTGAAACTTGGTCCCTCAGAGCAGGCCTTTGATAATGGGAGGTGACCTTACTATGTCAACTGCCATCAGAGCAACAGTAGTCCCACCCATCACTCCTTCTCCTACCTCTGCCTCAAAAGCCAAGATTCCGTGCTGGGTACCATAGTTTAAAGTAACCAGTATTATTCAATAATGATTTCAAGACAAGGCTATGTTTTTTCTTGTTATAATTATCATTGAATAATCTTTGGTGTAGAAATCTAATGATATTTTTCCAATATCAAAATTGATTTTATGATATGATTGCCAAAACCACTTTGGTGTGTGTACATATATATATACACAAAAATTTAATATCCATATATTTAGTATGTAGTGTGTATATATATATATATAAAATTTGTTTTTTTATTGAGGGCTTACAACAACCTCATGCCACTGATTAATAGCAATAGAAACTCCAACAGTAAAAACAAAACACCAGAAAGTCTCTTTATTTTAATCTATATTTAAAAAACAAATGTGTTGTATTTCATGCCATAACCAAACTGATGAGGTAGACTTTTCCAAACAATCCTATTACCTCAGAACATTACATTGCATATAATGACCATTCAGCTCTCCCAAAGAAGCTCTTTCAGAACATCTTATGTCTCTGAGCTTGAGATTCAATAATCACATTCAAGTCAAAATAATGCACCTTACCTGGTGGAGAACCTGTGTGAGATGGGTCCCCATAGTGCCCGTAATTTGGTGGAGAAAGGCCTATTCCAGGCTGGGACTGAGAATAGGGAGGTGTAGCCACATAACCTTGTTGACTCATTATGGAAATATCATTCCAAGGAATAGTTCTATCAAAGAACCCTGCAAAAGAAGAAAAAAATGTCAACAAGAAGGTTTGAGTCACTTAATGCTATTAAAACTACAAACACTGTTAATAAATGTGCATGATGGTTTGAGGAAAGGTACAACTATCAGGTGCATGAGACAGCTTCATATCATACAACACACAGTATCATTATCTGCTAAAAAGGCTCTAACCATAGCTCTGTGGAACTCAGTAACTCACTTCTACAGTCCTAGGCAAATTCCCAGGCACGAAAACATGAATAGCAGCTGCCAATTATTTTTTCATTCACAGATTTTTTCATTCACAGTCTCTCATAAGTGCATCTACTATTTTGGTGTCTTTGGTTCCCCCAGCCCTGTTTAAGCACAGATAATCACAATAATCACACGTCATTCAACTGATTGGCCAGCAGAACTGCCGTTAGTCTGCAATCAGATGTTTTGACTTGTGTCATTTTAGTGCTACCCTGATTAGTAATTTTAACCAGGCAGTTAGGATAAAGAGAAATCAATAGTCCAACAAATACAGCAGAAGATAAGCTGATAATGGACTGATTTTATGAGTCATATATTGATGACAACTATATATTGCCTACAACTATTTGAGAGTTGTCAGTGGTTTCTCAGTCAAAGATGAGACTTTCCTTTCTGATTTAAATATCTTACCTCTAAGAAATATATATGCATATATATTTAAGGAACTAAGGGAAAAAGTCAATTTCATGTGTCTAGGCACACACACACACAACTCAAAAATACAACAGATTCATCTTGATTCTATTCAGAACCTAAACATCAATTTAAGTTCTCCATTTTTTCCAGGTTTCATAAATAAGAAATATTTCATAGAAATATTCTCAAAAATTTTTATAACAGAAAAAGCTCTGAATCCTGGCAAGAGAAATGGGTTTTCACTACTAATCTGCCAATACTTAGCTGTGTGGCATGAAATAAGCTGGTGAACCTCTCTGGGCCTCAGTTCCCTCTTACAAAATGAAGCCTCTGAAAGCCTTTCCAGATATAGAACAACGAGTCTGCAATTTCTCTCCAGTTTTTTCACCCAGCATAGGAATATTCTTCCTTTTGTTATTTTATGATATTACCTTTTAAGGTAAAAGTTCAGTGAAACCTGCTAAGATTTGAAATAGATCTATATTCAGGAAAGTACATGCCATCATTTGGTTTCATTTTCATATAAACTATGCTTCCAAAACTAAAGCAGCGAAGTACAAATCTTAAAAGATCACTTTCTTCCTGGAAGCAGAGCTCTAAAGAGAGGAGAAATAGGCCTGCCGGTCCACATTGTTACTGACAACACATTTTCCCTCCTCCCACTTAGCAGAAAGAGACGTGGCAGCCTGAGCTTTGGTCAAGCTCATCCAACCAAGCACACTTAGAAAGTCAGCAGGAACACACCTACGTAGCTGCCTGTTGCTGGGTGACAGAAAGGAAAGGTAGGGATGTTCACTCGAAAGCACAGGAAGCAGTCGGGTCCCTCTTAACTGGTCCTGGCAGGAATCTGCTTCCTCATGCAACCCAGTGTGCCACGTCAAACTTCCTCACACGGAGCACCAAGTTATAGAAACCTGACTCAGCTTCAAGTGGCAACATGGCAGAAAGCCATCTGGCACGAGCAGGCCTAAGATCAAAATCTGGGGAGCTTCAATCCCTGAACAACCCCCAGTCCACTATCACTCGACCATTCCAGCCACGGTGCACTTCTCACCCACGATCAAGTTCGGATTTGGACAAATCAGTTTCACTATCAGGCTGTCCTGAAGCTTCAAGATACAGTTGCCATCATTACTATGAGTATTTACAACATTCCCTTCCTCCAAGGAAGAGGAAATTAAGTTAATACGGAGACAAGAAAACCGCTGGCCTGTTATTAGAATACTGTGGCTACTGAGGACCAACCAGGGAGCTCCAGTATCCCTAGACACAAAGATGGGGCGAGGGCGGGTAAAAAATGCCCACGCCCACCCACCCCACCCCCATTATTGAACTGCACCAAAGGGCTAAAGGAGCAAAGGAGGGGGTCGCCTCCGCTGCCCTGCCACAGGTTAGCATCCAACCTCACGCCACCCGCCACCCCAGGCCGGGCACCGCACCCAACTCCAGCTGTGCCTGGGGAGGGGGTCCCGCCTGAGCTCAACTAGGCTGGGCAAGGCATTACCTGGTCGACTCCCACTCGCCGCCGGGCTTCAGAGAGCCCGCGCTCTGCTCCCAGTGCCGGTTGCTCCCGTGACCCAGCTCCCGCAGCGGCCGCTGCTCCCGCGTCTTTCCTGCAGCGGGTGTCCCCACAGGCTGTTCTCGCTCGCCGAGTTACAGCTGGCCTGGGAACTGCCACGTCAAACACTCTCCCGGCTGCGCGCCCCCGGGGCCCCGGCTCCGACCAGCGGCCGCGCTCCCGCCGGCGCACGCGCACAGACGCAGACAGGCGGGGCGGGGCCGTCGCGGCGGGGCCGGCCATCCAGCGCCGGCCGCCTATTGGCCGCCCGTCCTCCCGTTTTTCTCTTTTCTCCCTTTCCTGTCCGTGTTGTTTGTTCGTTTCCGCCCAACAAGTTAAAGATTTTAACGCTGTTGCTAAATCAGAGCAGCATTTTCACTGTGGAGCCCCACAGGAAGGAGAGAGTTCTTATTGAGGGTTCATTCATTCTTTCATTCAACAGGTGGCAAGTTCAGCTATTCATTCATTACATATTACTTAAGTAACTAGGCTACTTCAGATACTGCACCGCCAATATAGGAGGGTATACGCTTCCGGATCTCGAAGAGATTTCAGTCTAAGCGCGAATCTGGCACGTGTACACGGACAATATGATGACGCACTCGTGCGATGCACTACAGAGGAAGGAACGCCCACGGCAGCCGACTACGCGGCACAAAAAAGGAGGAAAAGATGCCCCAGCTGAAAAGTATGGGAAAAGGTGTCTTCAGGGAAACTGGGATTGCCAGAATTCTGTGTATTCCTTCAATGAAGGTCTACATATTCATTGTGAAATAGGATGGCTGATCCCACCCCAAAATAGGGATTGCTACGTGCACTAGCTCACTGTGCTGTGAGAAACAGCTGAGAAAAACGGCAACCTATGTAAGGCCTGGAACTTGACCTCTCTATCTAGCCTTAAAAATCAGGACCATCTGGCTACTTTCTCACAACCTCCCACTGCTACATAGAAAAGCCTTCAGTCAACCTGAGGTTTCGTATAGCTACCACTTTGCTCAAACTTAGGAAAGTAAAACCGAATCAGTGCTTTGTTTTCAAAATATACTTTCTTCTGGGCTACAAGAAGGTAAAAGCTACTTGACAAATTCCTTTACTGATGAAATGCATGAGTAAAAACTTACATGGGAATGATGCTTCTGCTGAAATGCTCCATGGGTTTTGCAGGCATTTTATGTTGTTCCAGCCCACTGAAGACTAATGGTCCCTTTCCCCATTTTCCTTTTAGAGGATGTTAAGCTGTGATGTCCTGCCTACGTCCAGCTTTGATACTGGTCAGTTTTGAAAATCCACAATAAAAATTTTGTTTTAAATTTGTTTCTATATTCTAAATATGATGGAAATGTTTGATGGTATTTAAGAAGCTTTGGCCTATGTTGAAGCAGTACAACTTGTAAAAGCAATTAAAAAAAAAAGTCTTTGTATCATAGCTATGTCACAGTGTAGGAGAGAGTAGAGTCACTTGGAAATAGGAACACCATATGATGACTTGGTTGGCTTGTGGCCCCTGTAAGACCACTAAATTTGAATTTGTACATTTGTTCTCTCCCTTGCTCGGTAGCATCAGAACAAACAACTAGTGGTTTCAGTTCTAAGACAGTTTGCAATGCCTAAATGCTTAAAGCTGGAAGGGATTTTACAGAGACGGATATTCAGTTTAGCATTCAGTGAGGACTAAATTCAACTCAGTCATTTTATGGATTAATAAACTGAGGTTCAGGAAATGAAAATGACTTACTAATCTTAGAGTCAGTTGGAAGTCATGCCTTCTGATTATAATTCTAAAGTTCTTTTCACCTCGTATTTTTTTCTTTCTGATTTGCTATTCTCTATTAATTGGTTCTGTCTTTTTCTCGTTACTGCTTTATATTCAAGCTTTCAAATAACTAAAATATTAATTGACCACACATTTCCACCAGTGATTGGAGTTACTAATCACAAATTTCTTTTTCTTTTGACTTAGACTTCTGGTTTCAGTCCTGCTTCCCTTCTCATGGCCCCAAGTGCCCATCCCTTAGGTGATTAACTTCTTATCTTATTCCTATGGTTGAGTCATTGGCCTTCACCAGACCTGAGGGTCAGCCTGGATTCACAGCCTTCCTGCATCTTACCTGAGCTGTTTCCACCTGAGATCAGCCTCTGAGGTTCCATATGTAGTTAATTTGATCACCCTGGTAACTAATTGAGAAAAAGTGAGGTCACGTGGAATGTCTAGGTGCTAGGGTTCTGTGTTCTAACTTTAAAAGGAAAAGAAAGAAGAGAGTCAACTCTGCAAATGACTACATAGAAAGAGAAGGAATTTCCTGGCAATATTCAGGGTTCTGTCTAATAGGTGGCCTTTGTAACGTCAGAACTATGATGCTCTAAGCATTTACATAACTTAAGAAGTTTGGAGATTTCTGATTCCAAAACTACAGTTTGAAGAAGCTTTATATTTAAAAAACTGAAATGGCCAAGACCTGGACTATGTTAAATACTGGAATCACAATAAATTAGGTCAAGTTAAAGGGGGCTAGGAGAAAAGGTACATGGTAAGCTGAGTAGCAACCAGTAACAGTAACAGTAGAGTTCAAGTGTTTATCAAGGCCCAACACCCAGGTGTTTCTGGAATTACTTTAAAAAAAAAAACAGCTTTATTGAGATGTAATTAACAATCACCCATTTAAAATATACAGTCCAGTGGCTTTTAGGATGTGCAGAGTTGTATAGCCATCACCACAATCAATTTTAGAACACTTTGATCCCTCTCTAATAAATCCCATCCATTAGCAGTCACTCCCCTTTCCCCCTACCTTCCCATTCCATAGCCCTAGGAAACCACTGACCTACTTTCTATCTATAGGTCTGCCTATTTTGGACATTTCATATAAATGGAAACATACAACATGTGGTCCTTTGTGACAATCATTTCACAAGTTCATTCATGCTGTAGTAGGTATCAGTACGTCTCTCCTTTTTATTGCCAAATGATATTCCATTGTATGGATATAGCACATTTCCTTTACCCATTCATCATTTGATGGACATTTAGGTTGCTTCCTTTCCTCTTCCAGCTATTATGAGTAATGCTGCCATGAACATTCCTATAAAAGTGTTTGTTTGGATATATGTTTTCATTTCTCTTGGGAACTTTAAAAAAATAATGTACTTAAAAAAATGAACTCAGACAATCTGGCCCCAAAGGCTGTGCTCTCAGCAACTACGCAATGTTGTTATTCTGTATGAGATTTTATTTTTACAGTAAAATATGCAATCTCACCCCCTTAAAAAACCAAACTAATTAAAATTGAAGTCTGTTGAGGATGACAATACTTCAGTTTAAAAAAAAAGAAGAAAAAGAAATAGAAAAAAGTTAAACATAGAGTTACCATATGACCCAGCACTTTGACTCCTAGGTAGAATTACTTTTTGAATATCTCAGTATCTTGCTCTGAGTGAACTGCATCACTTATGGCTTTGGCCACAGAGTGGGTAGTGTGACATTACACTGCCAAACCAGTTGACTCAGGTTTGAATGGTAACACTGTCACTCAATGCTAGTTATGTCAGTTTTATTCATACAAAAATTATTTATTAAGCATCCACTATAAGCTGGATGCTGTACTAAGTGCCACAGATGTGATACTGCATTGGCTGTGAATAGTTCACGTAATAGTATAGGGATGGGCAAAATACAAAACCTGTTTTGTTTTGTTTTCGTAGCAAGCTAAGAATGATTTTTACACTTGTCTGTTTTTGTAGCAAGCTGAGAATGACTTTTACATTTTTAAGTGGTTGAAAAAATCAAAAGAAGAGTAATATTTTGTGACCCATGGAAATTATATGAAATTTACATTTCAATGCCCATAAATAAAGTTTTATTGGAACACAGCCACGCTTTTCATTAACATACTCTGTGGTTGCTTTTGCACTACAATAGCAGAGTTGTGTAGTTGTGACAGAGACCACAAGGCCCACAAAACCTGACCATATAGACTACCTGGCCCTTTACAGAAAAAGCTTACCAACCCCTGATCTGGTGGGACCTACAGTTATGGTTTAGTGGATTAGCACTCTATGAAGAGACACAAGTTGCCATAGGAAAATGTAGGAAGAGACACTTAACCCAGACTTGGAAAGTAAAAGATATCTCCTGGTAGAGGGAGTGTGTTCCCTGTGTAAACCTCAATATCCTCATCTGTGCAGATTAGAGTGATAATAACACTAACCTCAAAGACTGTTGTGGGGATTAAATGAGATAATGCAGGCAAAGTACTTAGTACAGTGTTTGGCACATTAGTACTCAATAATGTTGTTCTTACAGTCCCATCATCATAATCATCATTATTAATAGCATATTTGTGACAATTGAACGTACATACATTAAGTCTAAAGATGAAATCTCAGGGAAACCTACAACAGTGCAGTTTCTAAGCTTACTAACCTTGTCTTACTTGTTGTAAGTGTGAGATATTACATTCTTTTCATTGTGATCATGAACATGAAAGGATATAAAATAAATGAAGTGCTATGGAATAAAGGAAAACAGAGCAGGGTAAGGAGGATTGGGAATGCCCAGTTGGCGGTGAGCAGCATTAAACGGGGTAATTAAACAATTATAGTATTACATGGGGTAGAGTAGGGCTCCGTGGGCCCAGGAGGTGAGCCACTCAAATCTCTCTTCAAGATAACCTGCTCTAAGGAATTTAAGGGGCTGTCAGCCTTCAACTGTTATGCCTTCGGGCTTACTGCAGCATTCATCCCAAAGCAAACACTCTCAGAAGTTCCAAGCCAATGACCAAGCAATGGTGGGAATACTAAAGTCATAGTATTTCTGCCCAACATGGGAGTCCTCTAGTAAGAAATCTTTCCTCTGGGGCTCCCATTGCCCTGATTGAGACTTTCTCAGAGCCGCACTGCAATCTGAGGCTCATCCTATCCAATCCTCCCACTTCCTCCACCTCTTTTCACAGGTGTTGGATCTTCATGGCACCTAAACCTTTCTCTCCTGCTCCTGTTCCCTCTGTCTTCTGTTGTTCACACTTGTTTCCCTCAATAACTCTCTTGTATGTCTAATTCGACATTGATGTCTGCTTTCCAGGGGACCTGAATGCACAGAGCATCACAGAGAAGTCAAGATCTGAA